TCAGGTACTTCCGATGCTTAAGTATAGACTGCCAGCTGTTTATCATCTTTCTAAATTTGAACGCAGCTTGATTGAAAACGTTTAGCAGAGAGGATCTAAATCCATTCTGTAGTTACGAAACCTGCCTTACTCACATCGTCGTCAGCGTCTAAACTTGTGCTGCCTAGCTTTTCGTCAAGAAAGCGGGGATTTGGTTTTCACACTACTTATCGTTAGAGGTGCACTTGGAGCTGAAGTACAGAATTTCTTATTTTAATTCTTTCAATTCGACTTATAACCACCATTGGAAATTATTTAAAAAAGGAGACCTAGGGGCCGTTGTGACGTCACTCTGTCTACCAGAGTAGTAAACGTGTAGAACAAACTACCTGTGTATGTCGCCGTTGCGCAGTCTGTGGAATGTTTTAAACATCGACTGAATTTTTAGCTGTTGGGTAAACTCGGATCTTGTGGCTTCTTGTGTCAATGCAGCGGTTACATTGGTACCAACTTGCAATGTCCACCTTGATCCCTGTGACGAACTGTAAGCGATGAAGCTAAAAAAGTATTTTTTGCTTCTTCTCTCTAGCTTGCCAAACAACCTCCTTGTGGGGCCAGCTGGGTGGTTTGGGATTATCCCCTTTCATCAAATGATTCGACGGCACTGTTTCAGGAAGTGGTGAGTTTTCGCCTGGCAAGCGTTCTCTATATAAAAGGCCACAACTGCCTGTTTAATCACACTGCCACCCTGCGGATGTGACTCGCCACTAAATAAAGTCACTCCCCCTTTCTTCATCCTGGCGAAGCATTATATTCCAGCAACGTTACGCTGTAATTCTGGAGAGGATTGGGCCCCTGTTTGATAAAGGAACAAATAAAAGGCGTATGAACTGATCAATCAGTCACCGGCTCCCAATGGGCGCGATTCCCTGAATTCGCTCCGCTGCCTTGCGAGCAGGTTATTCAGCCAAATGCTCGGGGTGGTGTCCAATAAGAAAACACCTTACTTCGTCTTGGGCAACCGGGTAGTATCTCGCCCACTGACGAAACCATAGAATTTGATGGGTTGTGTTGCGCATTTTTACTACTTCTGTACTTTCTTTTTAATCCCATGGTTTAAGATAACTATGTCTATTTGTAGACTGTTAACAATATAGATATCTCTAGAATCCAATGCTACAGTGATCTGAATTTCACCTTCTGTTACTTTAGTTTCGGCTTGCTCACAGGCAATCTTCTTTGTAATTGACGTTCACTTTCCCTTCAACATCCTTTTCGTGTCCCTCCGCTTTTATCTAACCCAGCATATTAGTTTCCTTTTTATATTTCACGCAGCCGCCGCAGCGGGGATTGCTAGCACAGGGCACGTAGGTTTTTATTAGTTAACCCAGTTTTACTTTACACTGTGCTTCTTGGCTCTTACAATGTGCGCCAACGACGCATACAGGGTAGAACAAACATAGAAACTTTTTATGTTCCTCTGACATCTGAATTTTAATTTCTGCTACTACTCCTGCAATCTTTGAAAGATCCGAAAGCGTAAGAGCCGACATGGGTCCTTCCTTACATTAGTTGATGACCTGCACATTCCAGTCGTCGGATCAGACTGTTGAAGCCCTATCGGCTGTTTTGTGCACTTGCTCCACCCCGTTTACAGTTATAGCGATATACAGAAGTCCTGAAAGTTCTTCCAGGGGATACTTGACTCTATTCGCACTCATTCTGCGAATAAGTATTTATTACTAGGGAATTTCAACCTCCCGGAAGTCTGTTGGGCCGATCTTTCTTGCAATTTGGCATCAGAAACGTTCGGTGCAGACTTTCTTGAATTGACTCTCCAAGTGCCTCTGCACCAGTTCGTGGACTTTTCCACTAGGTATATGGACAACCAAATACCATCTATTTTGGATTTGGTTTTCGCTAAGTTCCTGGGCTTCTTGACTGACGTTTCATACGGGGCACCACTAGGGCCCAGCGATCACGTATGCATAGCCTTTCGATGTACTCTTTTATGGCACCAAGAGACCTCCGTTGAATTACTTCCGATTATTTGGCGAGCAGAATTTAGTGCAATGCGAGCTAAGGCTTTAGTTCTGAACTGTGTGATCTCGATGGCCGACTCTGTCTAGTTAGCCTGGGATAAATGTAAGGCATACCTTACAGAGGAATCCACTCCCTATATTCCAGTCATGAGGAAAAGAGGGTTAAGGGCACAGCCACCATGCATAGATACCACAAGCGAACCTACCAAGCAGCACCATCAGCCAGTACCTATGATAGTTATCGAGAGATTAGAAATACATGTAAGCAACATCTCAAAACTGTTCGTCTCCAGTACGAGCAGGGTTTAGCGAACTCGGTCGCAGCTAACCCCAAGAAGTTTTTGCTTACGTTAAAAGACGCAGCGGGGCAAAACTGTCTATACCAGCTTTATTGCGAGCAGACGGGACCCGTGCGCAAACTGACTATGACAAGGCTTGTATACTTAGTGATCAGTATACTGGGGTAGTTGCTCGGGAGAACTCTTTACCACAGGTTGAGTTGGCTTCAAGAGTTCTAGAGCATTCTTGCTTAGTTGAGTTTAGCATAACGGAGCCTCAGGTCTTCGAGCTACTGCAAGGCATTAATCACTCTAAAGCTTCCGGTCCTGATTCAATTCATCTGAAGCTGTTGCATGAATTGGCTAATGAGCTGAGTGGCCCTCTCACATGCATGTTCTCAACATCGCTGGACAGCTGCATCCTACCTTCGGAATGGAAGGAGGCAATAATCTGTCCGAATTTTAAGAGCGGTGACAGTGCTCTACCCGCGAACTACCGGCCTGTCAGTTTGACAAGTGTAGTAGTCAAGTTGTTTGAAAAGCTGATAAGGGATTCAGTGGAGAACCACCTGAATAGATTCAACCTTCTCAATGTTGCGCAATATGAATGCCGCAAAGGATTTTCATGTCAGACTAATCTACTTGTAGCTCGTAAAAGCTAGGTCGAAGCGGTAGACAGTAGCCACGCTGCAGGCGTGCTATTCGTGGACTTTTCGAAAGCTTTTGACACTGTTCCACCTCTTAGGCTCTCATTAATGCTGAGATCTTACGAGATGTCTGGTCGAGCCCTTCAATGGGTGTCTGCCTTATTTGAGGGGAGGGAACAGTGCGTACGGGTAGGACGTAGCCTTTCGCTTAGGCAAGCTGTCCTTAGTGGCGTTCCGCAGGGCTCGGTATTGGGGCCATCGTTGTTCGCGATCTATGTAAATGACTTGCCCGGAGAGCTAGGGGTGTCATCACTAATGTTTGCTGACGACTTAAGCTCTGGAATATTGTGGATATCTCGGGGGGTCCTGAGGCAATTCAGCATGCCCTGGATAGGCTCTGAGAATGGTCTACCTTGTAATTGGTGCCCATAAATAGGGCCAATTGCTCTGTTCTCCGAATCGGAGCTGATAATCCTCCCACCCGGTATGTTGTCGGCGGTGGTAAACTCCCTGTTGTCACCCAGCGGGTTGATTTAGGATTCATACAAGCATCAGCACTTCATTCTGGAGACAACTGGAAGAAGCTGCTTGTCGAGGGTTTCGTATGATGTGGTTTATCCGCCGCTCTTTCGGAATCTTAACGGCCAAGTTGTTTGTGAAGCTATTCACGACATTCGTCCGACTGCACCCGGAATATTGTATTCAGGCTTGCCCACCACGTCTTAACCGAGACAAAATGGACTTAGAGATGGTGTTACCAGTGGGCACTCGGTTAGTGCAGGGTCCACGGGAACAGACGTATCCTGAACGCTTGCTCAGTTTGGGGATGTACTCAATGCACTACCGAAGGATAAGAGGGGACCTGATTCTCACCTATCGTATTTTGACGGGTAAGATTGGCCCGGATTTATCAAGATTATTTAGCCCCACTACGTTGCCTAATCTCTGTGGTCACCCGCTGAAACTGCATAAGCCACGGTCTGATAGGATTCGGACGGAAACTCGTCTATCGCGCCGAGTTATAGATCGCTGGAATTCGCTTCCAGATTACGTTGTTAGGGAACCTACGGTTAAGGGCTTTGCGCGCCAGCTCGATGCGCTTGGGTGGCAACAGCAACCATTTCCTTTTTCTTAGCTGACCCACTTTCACTTTTCAATTCTTTTTAAGGACTCAAATGTATTGGTATTCCACTTGGTTAGCCCTTTCCACTTTCCCTGTTGCCTTCTGAGTTTAATTTTCTTCTTACTTCACGTAACCAACCCAGCAGGGACTGCTAGGGCAGGATACTTTGGCATTAATTGTTTGCACAGGGTGTGATGCGGTCTTTGGTTTAGGTCCATCAGTATTTCAAAGTCCGCCAACTCCTGGTTCAAAGACCCGCCAAAGAAGGAACACTCATGGGATAATCCTATCGCTCCAGTCTCGATTGAACTTGTGTAGTGACCTGGAGATTCCCCTGTTTGGCTGCCGCATGCTGCGTAAAATATTACAAAATCACAAAATTATATTTTCTCGATGTACATAGCAAAATAGCCGCTCGCCTGTTTGAACGTTGCTCGCGTTTGTTTGAGTCAACATAGCATCCGCCTTCGAACGGCGCGACGCTCCTCGGCTCCGCTGCCATCTTTGCTCTCCGCGCACGCGACCACACCTTTCCCTAGCTAGCTATCTTTCGGTGCCTTATTTTTAGCACTAGATAGCCTTTCGCCCACTTAAGAAATTTTTCCTAGCGTTACCTTTGGTGTTCTCCACTCACCGGAGGTTGGCCTTATATCCGCGTATTTGTTCTAAAGCGTACCGATCCCGCTTCGCGCTTTACTTGAACTTACCACTCAATGAAATAAATGTACAAACGGAAAAGGTAAGTAGGAGGTTTAATAAATGCCAAATATGTTTCTACAGCGCTTAACTTACTGCGGCAATGTTAAATTATTTATAAAACATCATTATAATAAACGATCAATAGCACTACAATCAGGAGTAAACGAGATTGATTGAGATGTTTAGTGTTCGCGAGACTGCAACTAAGTGCTCCCTCATTAACAGCACTTACCTCGTCTATGAATTTCAGTTTATTCACATTGTGTTGTTTCACCTCGTGTTGGGCAATAATCTCGAAGCGTGGTAAGTGCATGTGTTTTTGGTGCATTTCATATAGTTGCGTTCAACGACCTTGAGTTGCTATGACAGCGGATTATTGATGTGGAGAGAATGAGGTCAAGTTTCGTACAGATGCTTTGCCAATTACTAAAGGCTGGATTAAAATGACGATTAAAGATATTAAGTTTTACCAAGCATTCACGGCATTCCAACTCTCGTGGCAATCTACCAGCTGCTTTTCGAGTGGGACATTTTTAAACACCAGTAGTGGGAATTAGTAGCGGGGAAATCTTGCACGAGAGCGCCGGGTTAATCGAAAACAGCTGATCGTAATTGGGGCGCTCTAATGCTTGCTGCACTGGCTGCTTTCAAGGATGGAACACTCATGGACTTCTCTTTTCGTTCCAGTCCCAACCGAACTTGAACTTGAAAGCCATGAAATATATTGTGTGGGCTTAAGAAGATTTTATTAACTATAGTATTTCAGGGGAACCCGAAATGGTAGTACACTATTGGACCAGGTATGGAAAGTTCTTTGTGTCAGTGCGCAGGTGTTGTTACCTGTTCCCTGCAATGATTGCTATTGTAGCGCTGTAGAGTGTCACAGTAGCAAATCCACAAGTAAGTTGTCGTCGAGTGTAGCCTACATTATTAGCGATGTCTTCTCGTTGCTTATTCAATGTGTCTTCGATGTTGTTGTATTATCAAACCGTCGTACGCTTTCACGCCATCCATGTAGTCCCCTCACACTCGGTTCTCCATCTGCACCTGTGACAGTATCCCCCAGCTAGCCACGAGATGTGACACTAGTACAGCGTCTATCCAGCGCAGACTCTTAATAGGCGGTTTTTCAGCCGCCTACAAAGTATCTCCTTTGCTTTTCAACCCTTTGGAATAATACGACCGCGACACAGAAGCAATTGGAACCCTCGAACGGACGCAAAGGCAGATGGCACTGTAGGTTTCCCACTACTTTTCGCTAATATTATAAGCACTTGAAGGATTCTAAGCTTTGAAGTTTTCAAATGAGGACGAAAACCAGTTTTTAAAAATAGGACAATTTAACGGCTGTGTCATAAAAGATATCAGGTCAACAGTCACTTTGAAGGGATATGGTACAAATGGGTAAATGCTCGTTGTGTGCATTGCCGAAGTCAAAGAATAAGTGGCAGCCTGCAAATGCGAACGTTGTTTTAAGTTTCGTACATGTTGTTTAAGTGTCAGCCTGGCTCGTGCGGCCAGCATAACTATCAGTGTTAAGGCCACTTACTATAAGATAGGTACGCATAGCCTGATGCTTAACCGTAATTTCCACTTAAAGTTTAAGAGTCAGATATCAGTGCCGGCCTCCCGGAGCGGAGTGGTAGGTGTTATATTTAATGCAATCGTTAATTAATATCAGTGAATTGCGTGGCTATATATTGGAGTGTTATAACAAAAGTTTAGACGGGAAAGAATATTTTTCTATCCGGCATCGGTTAGGTGGCACATCTAAGGGAAACGATATAAAAGCAGATGCATTATTGTTGCATAAGTATTATCCCGTGCGTGTAAAATGATGGTTCGCTGTGCAGTCTCTTACCTTTCTTTCCCACATCCGCTACTTCCGTAGTAGTGAACTACTGGGACGAACTTCCGTCAGATGCTCAGCAGCAGTTGGACTGTGGTGCTTAAGTGCTTTAGCAATACTTGGTATTTTACGGTTTCTGCGCTGGGCGCAGCGCTCTCTACATGCTGATGCCCGACTTGGCGGCAGATAATTACCGGTGGTTGCTCGGGCGATGTCAGAAGTTCTGCACAGTACTCGTTTAGCGCAGACAATAGTGATGGGTAGGTGCAAAGCGCAAATGAAGGCATTAAAGTTTCTTTATCCAATGCCCATGGTAGTATTATGTTTATCCCTTCCTGCAGGACCTTACACGCAAGTGCCAGCCCCTATCAAACGTCAAACTGCATGACAGAGCTTTGTTGGGGTAGTGGATGCACTAGTTAGTTTACACGAGAACCGAATTACAGTTTAAGATTTTTCTTAGGGCTATAGGGTTGGAAACAAACAGGCTGCCAGATACCTCTGTCAGACACGGTTTCTCTTCACAGGGAGATAGGCTTAACATAGATTGAGCACCTTGCGCACGTTATTGGCTCTCATCAAAAACAGATTGGATAACAAGAATAATTAACTAACGTTGTGCTTTGGTGTGAGAACATCCGTATTGCAACTGTTTGGGGCGGTTGATCGGATAGCACTCGATGCACACCCGCGTGGGACCACGTCTCTAGCAAACCTGTCGTTGTCGAATGCACGGATATTTACGAGCACAGGGCTTGGGTGAGAGCTGTTTTCCTGCCTGTCCACTTATGCAACCCGTATGTCTATGCGGCACGTTTCCACAGCGACGTTGATGTCAATACGACGTGACGGCACCAGTTATGAATATTTAGGTAAAAGGGACCGCATACTACTGCTTTCTAAGGTGATGAAGTGGGATGCGATTGTTCGTCCGAAAAACATTGGGATTTGTCATGCGCGCACATTGTGCGCTTATGCAAGAATCTGTTGGTCAACGAGGGAACCACAGATCCCTATACTTGATTGTCAAACGCCCTTACTGGAAATTCAACCGACGCCATTCCCCTCAGCCCCCCGACGGTGGTGCTGGCACGCGCGCAAACGCAGGCCAGTGCCAACGAGTAGTTCCGTAACCTAACGGTTGCCATGACGGGTCGGGGTACGGCTGCTTTCCTTGACAAAGCAATTTTCCACGGTAAACATTATACAATACTACATAGGCCAAGATAGCTGTCGGCTGGATATGCTTTCCTGACCATCTCGAACATCCTTACGCCATGCCGCAATGTGCCTGGCCCAAGCTAACCAAAAGGAAGTAGTCGGCATTGCCTAGGTTGCTGAAACCACCACAGCTGTCCACCGAGACGCACCCGCTGAAAGTTGACGCATCCCCATTATGCTTTCCGCAGCGTGCACAACTGCGAAGAATCGCGCAAACGCAGTGAATATACCACCTGCCTGCCAGAAAGCAAACGTAGGCACTAGTTGCGGCACGGAAGATGGACCAAGAGCGAGCAGAGACGTCCTTGATTGAGTGAGGTGCTCTAACTGCAACAGGTGGCTGCATCAAATGCGTGCAGCGTACGACGGCAACAAAGTGCACTATACTTGTCTCATTTGCAGATAAGTCAACATTCTCTGCAACTTTTTCCAAAATATGCTCTTGAGAAAGCCAAGCCGGCCCTTATAAGGCCCCCCTCTGCCGCCCATGCGGTCTGCTTCCCCATGGTAACTCACGCTTCCGGAAAGCTGGTAGGTATGGGTAGGAACACACTGAATGGCAGCGATTGGATGGCTAAACGACTGACTATTTAGGTGTATTCTTGACTTGTTTGACATGAGAACCCCAACCTTAGTGTTAGTTGGCGCAGACCGGATGGCGAACATACGTCCGCTACAAAGGCGTACTCACTTAGTATGGGGCAAAATAGCTAATAGTTAGCCATTTTTGTACCGGCGTGCGCATGCAAACGTCGTGTTATTCCGAGCATCGTACCCGGAAGTTCCTATGTTTCTATGGCGTTGAGGCGTTTCCCAACCCCCATATTAAGAACATTCTGTACTATAATGAAATCACTTTTTAGCCCAGACTTAATGGATGTCTGGAAAACTAGGTTGCGTATACAATCAACTTTATGGTAAATAGAATTTTAGTAAAATATATGGATTCTATAAAGAAAGTAGTGCAAGATGGCGGACTCTTTCAATTCCAACATTTTGCATTATCCATCAGATTTCAATAAGGATAATATAACCTACTTATCGATTCGCCGGCTACTTTTTGTGAATTGCTGCATAAATAAATAAATAAATAGTATATTCTCGGTAAAACGAGACACACCTGTAAAGGCGAGATCAACTATGCATACAAGCATATCTTCTGTGGAATGTTAAAACATTTCGTTTTAATGAAAGTTATAAAAGAAAAGATGTTGTCCGTATGAGTGAGCATACTATCAGGTAATAGTCAGACCCAGGGACATTATGGCGCTGTGGCGCGCAAAAATCCGTCAAAACACAAGTTAGGGGTAATTTCGCCAGGTAGTGATTCGTGAGCACAGGAGCCTAAACAAGGTTTTGTTGCAACCAATAACCATTACGAGATAGAAAAGATCTGCGCTCCAACGAAGCATTCTTCATAGCAGAATTAGTTGCACAGGTTCGAGGTAGAAGGCTGAGGACTGCGTCAAAGTGAAATGCATTATCTGTGACTTTATTTTGTGGCGAGTCACATCCGCCACGTTGCAGTGTTGTTAAGCGGACATTTGTGGCTTTTTATAGGGTGAACGCTTGCCAGGCGAAAACCCACCACGTCCTGGAACACTGCCGTAGCTTTCGTTGAACAGTAGTGCAAGTCGGTTATGCATCGTATAGACCGATTTTGCATTCTATTATTCGCAGTCGGTTGACAGCCAAAATCCTTCGTTGGTTGGCCGCTTGGCTTAGTACTGATACGGCAGCAGTCGTTGAAGCCGGTCAATGATGCGAGATTCGAAGAGTCGAATGATAATGAGGCAGGTGAGTAAACACATTGTTAATAGAGGCCGGCTCTTCTATTATATTCTTGCTCGGCTAGCAAACCATGTCCAGCTATCCACGCTGGACTTGTCATGGGGCCGGTGAGTGAAGTTGTTTCTTGTGGCTGAATATGTCCTTAATAGGTAAAAACGCCATTCTCCGCGAATTGGATTTGGGATTCCTGCAAATGTAAGTAAGTGTAACTGTTTCCATAGCCAAGAGAAAATTCCACGGAAGACCATCGGAATAGCCACGTATACGTGCGCAACGCTGTCCGTGAAATGACTTCAGAATAGCTCCAGGTGACTGGCGAATAGGAATGTTTAAGGCCGTGAAGGTAATCACACCAGAGTTGTTTGTCTTCGGTTGTGGGACGGGGGATACATGTACATATATTATTCCAGGTGAGTAAATTGTTCTCTGAGTACGAGGCAAGCTAAACCCAT